GCTAGTACCTCTCGTTTCTAAAGCATGGTCTAAGACCAACCCACTGTGCCTGCTTGCCTAATGCAACTTAGGCGGGCAATAATTGATAGAAGATGGGGTTTTGCAAAAGAAGGATCATGTTCTTTTGCTTAGTCTTAAAGAAAACATTGCAAACTCAACACAGGTTTGGCTGATTTCTAGCCGAAAGGTGTTGCCATAACTAGTGGAACCAAAAGAATTACTAAAAAAAATAGCCGATTTAGGAGAGGCCAATGTAGGGTTCTGCGGCCGATATCCATTTAACTGTTGGGTAGGCATTGCGAAATTGGGTTTTGAAATGGAAATGGTCTGAAAAAGCTAAAATTGCACGAAATGCTTGTTTATAGCAGACTCAGCGGGGACTTTCAAGTTAGTTTTAACTTCGAGTTTCATGCCGCGAGGCAATCATCACACAACTAATACTAGGATTCTACCCAGCAGTGCCCTTGTAAACACATAGGGCCAAACATTGACTGAAACCCACCCTGTATCAATTGGCTCTCAAGTCCACAGACTGAAGCGCATACTTAAGCCAGGTTCCCACTAGGCCGATCTTTCGGCCGATGCTCCGACACAGGCTCCGACATTAAATCAGCCGACTCTGTAGAACGAGTCGATCTACGTGTTGACATACAATACCAAGCAATTTCGCTTGCTGGCCTGTCTGTGCACATACGTACACTTGCTACACAGCCATGCTAGACCGTAGTAGCTTGACTCTAGAGGGAAAATGAGTTTTTTTAATACATGCGTTACAGGACCAAAAGCCTGAAACGGCATGGTGTCTAGAAGCGATCCAGTGCAGACAGTTCACGATATGCACCGCCGCTCTCTGCTGCCATAGCGAAAAGCCGCCAGTGATTAGTTGGTGGCCTGCTCCACCATGTGCAATCGCTAGATATCGGCCGACTTATCGACCAGTCAGTACCTCTTTGCCAAAAATCGCTACAGATTTGCCAGAATCTTGAACAACAACTCCGCTCATACCAGGTGATTTTGGTGTCGATCTTGACAATTTTTTGTACGATTCAATGTCGGCTGAAAAATCGGCCTGGCAACAGGAAAGATGGTGCTTGCCCCCTAATGAAACCCTTTGAGTGCAGAATGAGGCAGGTGTGCGTGTGTGTATGTGGGGCGGGGGGGGGGGGATAGCATAGGATACAGTGTGTCTACTTGGCTTAAGTCCATAGTGCAAGAGTGCCATGCTCCTCTCCACTGGTGTTCTGCAATGGATGAATACATTCAGGGGATCAAACATTGATTTGTTTATTTTGTTTGCTGTGCTTTGCAACCACTGAGCAATGTGCAGTCAGATGTCGGGCTGAAGCACATCCTCCGGAAAGCGCCAGCAACTGGACAACATTATTGACCTGCATTGCTAGTCAGTCTGCTCGCCTGCCACCAGGACAAAGCGGCTCAGACTACGAGTTCAGATCTGTTAGTACATTGGCCAACTACGCTGGAGCAAGGCTTCTTCAGCAATAACTTGCTTGCTGCTGTCCACTTTCTTCCTTGCAGGTAAGCACGCAGGCATTGTTTGTACTGTATAACTAAGGGCGCGTTTGGTTGGTACGACCTAGAACAGGATTCACCAGAACAGCGCGTTTGGTTGGGACTGCACCTGTTCTGGGTCGGCCAGAACATGTTCTGCTTGCTCCGGCCTCGAGGCCGGAGCAGACTGAGCAGTTTCACTTTTTCACAGTGAAACCTGGTGGGAACATCGATTTTGGTCCCAAATGATCACGTGCTTTTAGGTTGGACTCGTCGTACCGTACACAGGGACCATGGTGACCCATACACATTTTGAAGAATGCACCAAGTTTGGCATATTTTTCACAAAAATGTGCTCTGTTTCTGGAGTACCGTTTGGTTGGCATGGGGCTGCTCCATGTGCACCAGCTGTTCGATCCTGTTCTAGATTGTACCAACCAAACGCACCCTAAGCTGCCTCGTGAAAAAAAAACAGTGGTTTTTGGTTATGTTGAGATCGTGGGCAATGTGAATTCTAGAGGTCTTTTGCAACCGGCGGAACAGCTGACCAAGTTTTGAGAGTGTGCAAGATCGGGCAAGGTGTATCGAACGGGACCGGCGGAAGCAGTTTTGGATTGCTCCGGCCCTACCATAGCTCTTCACACATTGTGCATGATACGGCGAGTGCACATGGCCACCTCACGTGTTGGTGGCGCAAAGGTTGGTCCGACCAGGGCCTGGCCAACTGGACCAGTTTCTCCAGGCCTGTTGAATAGTTTCCCTAGAAGGACTCTGCTCTGTGTCACCGTTTCTCGTGTGTGTCTAGTCGAGTTTGCCACGGACAACCTGTGGAGGCTGTGAAACAGGATCTGCTGCGGTGTCACGATAAGTATCCATTTAGGCTCCTTCAAGCTTTACAGCTGTAGGCCAATGTACTTTGAAGTATACTTTACAGTCAATTCAGTATAAAAATCACCTTTGCAGTTAGGAAATCCCAACATAGGCCGTGTTTAGGCTGGAAAGCCCAAGTCAAACGCTTTCAAAATCAAGGTTTTGGACTTTCAACTGCCAGCAAAAAAAACAGACTCCCTAGACTGGCTTTGGCCAACCTCAAATGTGAGCAAGAAGAGATTGCATGACCCATATAGTGACGGATGTGCAGTTGTTTGCATTGTTTTTGCCACTCTACAAACAAGGCAGTGAAGGGGCCAGATTTGCCCTAGCCTAGGAGACTTTGAATGAGCAATCACAATAATTATTATGATGGGGCCTCGTTTAGGATTCAGTCTTCTGAGAATGCTTGCATAACTGCCCCTGATGTTATGTATGGTGGTGTGTCTCCCTCTTGTGTGTTTTTGTTCCAGGACTGTCATTTGCCACCCGTGCTTGACTTTATGATTTCTTATTCTTTATAGACTTGGGAGGGGCACTTCATAGCAGCAAGATTTCCTTGTTGCTATGTAGCTGCCAAAAAAAAGACAGGTGTTCCGTTCCAATTCCCCCGGTGCTCAGGGAAGGGTCTTGGAGGGATGGATGGGGGGGGGGGGGGAGGAGCTTGCTGGCGACTCCATGACTGGCTGCGATCAAATTTTGCCTCAAAATGGAGTTGAAAGGAGAAGTATTCTGAAATTCTCTGATGTAGAAGTTGAATTTGCCTGCGAATCAAATCGGAAACATTTAATTCCTGGTCTGCTTTATGGGGGATTGCCAGTCAAAATGTTACGGCAAAGAACCGCAACATGAAAGGCAATCCCTGCTATTGATCAGTGGATTTTCATGCATTTGAGGTATTTCCTATATTATGTATGCCATCACGACCGTTGCCCTATATGATCTCTTGTGTCACAACCCATGCCCAATATGGACCGTAGTCTGCAATATTGTAATTCCCACCCTAATAGCATTGCATTACCTATCTCGCACGATGTCAAATTACGTTTGGTAGAAGTTCTCATGAATTCATCTGTTGGTGGTAGAAGATTGACCTTTCCCATTGCATGTAGCATTATTGTATAGCAATATCAATCTTACTATTTCCACACCTGCATGTCTGTTCCCACACACACCTCAGGGACCAGTACACTATTGCACACTCAGTGAGTACTACACAATGTGGCCGGCGGGGAGCGAGGTGGAGCGGCACACACTCTGCTGATAATTAGTGCAACGGTCAAGCAGTGGCGGCAACTGGCGGCTGGAGCGAACCAGACAATCAACCACAACAAACACTGAACACTAGTTTACATCCATGTCACACTATAACAATTCTTCACATTTGTTTCGTATCCCTTACTCACACTCTACTGTATTCACATCATCATTATTATGATCATATTCACATTTTTAGCTAGGGTAGTTAGGCATAGATCAGGGCAAGGTAAGAGCCCTGTAGGTCATCTCTCCTACATCCAACCAGCGCTACATCCAACCAGCGCTACATCCAACCAGCGCTACATCCAACCAGCGCTACAGCGTCAAGTCATCAGACCTACCATTGGTAAATATGTTGTTTTGTAGTGCATGCTTGGTGTATTGTACAACACCATGTTGTTTTGTACCCGTGTCTGTTACTCGTACTATCCCCATACAACAGTGGCTGTCACAGGCTGCTGTTGTGTGGGTGTATGTAACCAATCAATTGTGTCATGCTCATTCATTCCCACTCAGGTAGGCTCAAGCGCTGTACGGACAGCACAACAGCCTCGCTAACCCGCTTCACCATCGTAATGTATATTTGGGTAGTGCGTATGTAGACATTGGTAGGGTATGCATTCTGCTGTTTGGCTTGGTAGTTCCCCATGTGACAATGGTCATCATTGGCTGCTGTCACATGGGTGTATGCTTCTAATCCATTGTGTGAAGCTGTGTAACTTTATTTTCCCACTCAGCTGGATATGCAAGACCAAGGGACCCGGATTCGCCACAGCACGGCTAAGTATAAGCCAATAAAATGGTACGTTGCACAATTTCGTTTCTGCATGTTGCAATCTCCTTATTTCTACTGTGCTTGCCGAGAATTGCTTGAGTGTTTGCAAACTATTATAACCATTATACTGCACCTATTGCTAATCAATAACTGTTTGCTTCATACCTGCCCAGCGAGATCATCTCATTCGCCATTATTTCAATCACTACACCGGTGACCACTACCTCGTTAGCACCGATGACGGCCAATCTGCTAGTACCAGTCTGGGGACATCTCGCTACTACCGATGTCGGCCAGCATTGCTTCTACCGATGACGGCCACCTCTCTACTATCGATGCCGACCAACTCGCTACTAGCGATACCGACCACCTCGCTACTACCGATGCCGGTCACCTCGCTACTACCGATGCCGGCCACCTCGCTACTACCGATGCCGGTCAACTCGCTACTACCGATTCCAGCCACCTCGCTACTACCGATGCCGGCCAACTCGCTACTACCGATGCCGGCCACCTCGCTACTACCGATGCTGGCCACCTCGCTACTACCGATGCTGGCCACCTCGCTACTACCGATGCCGGCCACCTCGCTACTACCGATGCCGGTCACCTCTCTACTACCGATGCTGGTCACCTCGCTACTACCAATACCGGTCACCTCGCTACTACCGATGCTGGTCACCCCGCTACTACCGATGCTGGCCACCTCGGCGTGGATATCTCACTGCTATTGATGCTGGATACTTTGCTGCTACTGATCCTTCGCTACAACTGGCATCAGCCAACTCTGTACCACCAGCCCGGTAACTCACCACCAGCCTGGTAACTCACCACCAGCCCGGTAACTCACCACCAGCATTGACTTCCTCAACACTACGGCTGTGATCAGAGATACCAAATTATTTGCATCGCTTGTTCCTCAAATGTCAGTCATATCACGCTAGTGCCGGGGTTGTCTATGCCAGCAATCACAAGACTGGTCGCGTCCTGTGTGTCACAATGCTGATGCTGGCATCGTCATTCTCTGCCCTGCGGATGTCAGTAACATGATCACCATGCGTGCACAGCTATGGCTCACCAGCTGCATGATCACCATTTGGGTTGGATGAAGACCGGCATTTGCCTTCACCACAGCTCTCAAAAAGGTAAAGTAATTCCTGAGCCTATACAATCATCATTTAGGCATATCTTTCTACATTTTAGTTAGGACAGCCATTGCCGTACCAAGTTCTAGCGTACCAGCAATTTCCGCATTTCATACATATACGTCCCATATCCTAGCTAATCTTTCACCCCCCCCCCCCCCCCCCCCCCCCATTGGACCATGGTAAACACTTCAAGTAGGGCTGGTATTTGAAGAGGGCAATTTTATACTGACTGGGTGTAGGAATTAAATTACGGATTGACCCCAGCAGGGAGTCGTGCACAGGGAATTTGCACCTGCAGCATGCATACGTCTCAATAGTGTGAAGCCTCCACTATGTGCTAAAAGGGAAGGAAAGGGAATTTTGATGTTGTGAGAGTGACCCCGCTCTGTCTTTCAAGACCTTTTCTCCAGCAGCACCTCCTCCCCCCCCCCCTTCTATTTGGGAACTAGTTGCAGATTGCTTGTCAGTGGAAATTTGAAATACCCCTACCTGGGATTTGTGGTGATGGCATACAAGTACATGTACTTCACAGGCAGATTCGCCCTTCGCGGCATGTAGATGTCTAGATTGTATAGCTAAATTTCACTTCAATTCGCAGATGTATCAACCCGCATGACTGTACAGGCTATCAGCACGGCTTGGAGCGTCAATGAAGGCCAGACACGTCATGGAGTCGCCAGCAGCTTCCCCTCCTTTTATCATTTCAAAATTGTCAATGAATCAGCAATGAGCATGGATCATGAGTTGAGCCCGTCACTTTTCATCAGTTTACTTGCACACAATTTGGTTTTTCAAACTGGCCACCTACTCATGTCCTGGTCTCATTGCTGACCCAAAAATGGAACGGAACACCTGTCAATGGGGAGGGAAACGCTAAACTCATTTGAAGTCTTTGAAATATAGATCTAGATTATAATTCGGGTATAATCGCATACATATAAGGGAAATCCAAAAATCATACAAAAATCGGGGGAAAGGAACAGACCTATGCCCAAATTTGTCAGGTTTGGCCGCCATTTTGATTCCGGCATGCTGCTTGTATGAGCTGCATTCAAATGTACATATGGGCCCCATTCAAATGTATGGGCTGCATTCAAATGTATGGGCTGCATTCAAATGTATGGGCTGCATTCAAATGTATGGGCTGCATTCAAATGTATGGGCTGCATTCAAATGTATGAGTTGCATTCAAATGTATGGGCTCCATTCAAATGTATGAGCTCCATTCAAATGTATGGTCCCCATCCAAATGTATGGGCTGCATTCAAATGTATGGGCTCCATTCAAATGTATGGGCTGCATTCAAATGTATGGGTTGCATTCAAATGTATGGGCTCCATTCAAATTTATGAGCTCCATTCAAATGTATGGTCCCCATCCAAATGTATGGGCTCCATTCAAATGTATGGGCTGCATTCAAATGTATGGGTTGCATTCAAATGTATGGGCTCCATTTAAATGTATGGGCCCCATTCAAATGCATGGGTTGCATTCAAATGTATGGGTTGCATTCAAATGTACTTGTATGAGCTCCATTCTAATGTATGGGTTCCATTCAAATGTATGGTCCCCATCCAAATGTATGGGCTCCATTCAAATGTATGAGCTGCATTCAAATGTATGGGCACCATTCAAATGTATGGGCTCCATTCAAATGTATGGTCACCATCCAAATGTATGGGCTCCATTCAAATGTATGGGCTGCATTCAAATCAATGTATGAGCTGCATTCCAATGTATGGGCTCCATTCAAATGTATGGGCCCCATTCAAATAGTGTAAGGGCTCCATTCAAATAGTATATGGGCTCCATTCAAATGTATGGGCTCCATTCAAATGTATGGGCTCCATTCAAATGTATGAGCTGCATTCAAATGTATGCGCTGCATTCAAATGTATGGGTTGCATTCTGAGCTCCATTCAAATAATTGGCTGCCTTCAAATGTACATGTATGAGCTCCATTCAAATGTATGGGCTGCCCTCAATAGGCCCAGACAGATTCTGCTCCGCTCGCCTCGATATTTTGCTGCAAAATCTTCGATATTTTGCCGAGCCCGGCACAAGAATCTCGATATTTTGCTCAATTTTGCTCCGGAAAAACGTGTATTTTATCCAATTCACGTACAATCCCGTACAACGTTTCATAAAAATTGCAGGGTCGGTTTCTCAACATGGGTTTCCACGCACGTGGCCCTGAGTTCTTCCAAAAACATGTCGATCCACAGTGAATCCCAGTGATATTCCGGTGACATGATCTCGTCCTGGGCAGTGTATCCTGCTGAACGGGTAAGAAACAAGGAAATCCAAGTATCAGGCATCGATTTTACCCAACATCTCGATATTTTGCTCCGATTTGGCCGGCAATTTCCGCTCTTTCAATTCTTCGATATTTTGCGGAAAGAATTGCCGGCAGGATCTGTCTGGGCCTAGCCCTCAAATGTATGTCATATGGGCTCCATTTAATTGTACAATAGTGGCTGCATTCAAATGTATGTTGTTTTTTTGTTTTGTTTTTACAAAAGCCACAGCTCAAGAAGAACGAGAGCCTGTGGTGACGAGGCCTTGGAGCTCAGCTGACCATGAGTAGGGAGTTCAATCGAAAACCAAATTTGTGAGTTTCGCATAAAACGCTAGTTTTTCTAAACAGAGAAGGTGTGAAAAACAGCCTGTGAAAGTTTGAACCCAAAATTCCAAGGCAATCTCAGTCGAGTTATATTTGTAGTGGCAGCCGAGTGGAGGCACGGTGCAATCGACACGAGTTAGCTTTTAATTCAACTTTCTCTCAGGTACACACCTGGAATATAATTATATAAGAAAGAGAAGCGGCAATAAAAGAACTTTCTCCGGTACAAACCTGGAGGTTGAACAGCTCTTCTGTTCGGCTTTGTTGTTATAAAATCTCATGAAAACAGAAATGGCAAGCAGCTTGTATGCAACAGACCCCGTATGCTAACATACGGGGATACACTAAATATAAAATAAATTCGACGGGGTTCGCGTACCGGGCAGGTCAAGAACAAAGAGTCGTACAACTCCCTGGTCAAGAACCACCTTTCCGCTTCCGTGGGACGCCACCACCCCATGATCAGGCGTCAGATGCGGCTCCTTAACGGTGGGGGAGGATAGATCAGATCCACCAACCAGAGGCCAAAGGCCTCGATCCCGTTTGCCACATCCATGTATTACTCATGCCAGGCCACGAGTTCCCGATTAACTGTGGGTCGCAGCACGGTTGGAAAAAATCATTCCGCTTCCAAGCAGGACTTGAACCTGGTACCTCTCGTTTCTCAATCATGGTCTTAGACCAACCCACTGTGCCTGCCTGCCTGATACACTAAATATACGTCAAGTTCCGTACAGGGATACTACATAGTCGATTGAAGATCGGAAAATGGGGGCGAAGACTGTCACAGAAGTAAACGCAAGTGCGTATGTGCGCTGTGTGGTTTCCATCCAGCACTGCACTATCTGGTGCATACATGGCGATACATGATGTGTGCATGCCATGCAGTGTGCACCCATGCCATGCACGCTTACTTGCACAAGTCGCACGTTTTCACCGTCACCGCTTCTACAGTGTGCGCGCAGTTCACTCGATTTCTTTCGTCAACCACCAGGAAATCGCCATGGGCTGGTTTCTGTGATCATTTTCCTTCCACCGCGATACAGCGTGAGCCTAAATGTTTTAGAATTCTCTTGTTTTAGACTAATTTGAGGCAGCTGAACACGAAAATCGGGTGTTCCTCACAGGGTCGAGTACGCATCTGGTCGAAATTAGTACTTCGAAGTGCGTCCACGCGAAGCGCGGAGGCATTATTTTTGGAAGCATGGCATGTGTGGCACCATTGGAAAGGTAATGACCTCAGCTACCTAAAGTAGCATTGACAAGGCCGAAAAGGCCGCGGGAGAAGATACTTGGGCCTCGAACTGCATCCTGAACTGCAGCCACGAGGCACCCATTCACTTTCTACAGGGGAGCTGTGACTGCATTTTTCGCTTCTCAGCGACCGGAACTGAAATCCCTACCATGAGGTCTCGGTCTCGCAGCAACCAGGACGCACCAAAAAGGTGGAATGAACAAACCAGAGAAAATAATGACCTTTGAAGAGAATGACGGAAAAGCCAGTAGAGTAACAGTTAGCGCGTCCAAGAACGCTGTTTCCAAGGGGTTAGTCTGGGACGTTCTTATTTTTTTAGCAATCTGGCTGCATTATAATAGAGAGGTTCCGCATACGTTAGTAAAAAAACGTAGTCAGTCTACGGAAAGTCGTACGTAAACTGCATGCGGATCTGTGTTCCGCCATACAGAGTTTTCAAATCATGTAGCTGACCTTGGCAACTCCGAAGGCGGCAGTGTACAACCGGATCGACCTGGGGAGAGAGTCATAAATTTGTACCCCATTCCACTTACAGAGCACCTACATTATCAGAGCCCTATCTATGTACTCTAAGTAGACAACTTTCCGTAAGTGGAGTGCAAACTCGTGAATTCACGGGTTTTCCCGCCCACCAATGCAAAGTTGCTCAACGTTACGTAGTGCGGAACCGCTCTATTAATATCCAGTACGAATTGTTTATGTATCCCAAAAGCTGCCAGAAAACCAACACCGCTGTTCTTAAAGGGGAAGTATACCCTAAAATCAAATTTTCACCAGTTGTAGTCTTCTGGGTGCTGAGTCAAATGGTCTTGGTCCGAGGAAGCTGCGACGCTCCCTTCCTACTTGAATCCCAATCGAACTCGCACACTTCCACCGAAACTGGGTGACTGCGCCCTACTAGATGGGGATTTGTATGCAAAATGTCACTAAAAGCGCCATTTCGTTCTTATAAAAGCACGGATGACCGCGATTGGCCCATATGTTGTAGTCTTTTGGACGCTGAGTCGACTGGTTTTGGTCCGAAAAGGCTGCGATGCAGCGTTCCTCCTTTATTCCCAATCGAACATGGTTGAACAAGCGGTCACGTGCTCCTGGGTGCCCAAATCACCTGGTCACCGCGCCAGCAGGCGACAACTTTCACACCAAGGTTCAACTCGAGTTCAACTCGAGTGACAGGACTGCACCCAAAAAAGGTCAAACAGGCTAGTAAGTTGTACCCTGCAGGCACGGTGACCAGGTGACTGGTGTACGCAGGAGCACGTGACCGCTTGTTCAACCATGTTCGATTGGGAAAAAAGGAGGAACGCTGCATCGCAGCCTTTTCGGACCACAACCAGTCGACTCGGCGTCCAAAAGACTACAACATATGGGCCAATGGCGGTCATCCGTGCTTTTATAAGAACGAAATGGCGCTTTTAGTGACACATTGCATACAAATCCCCATCTAGTAGGGCGCAGTCACCCAGTTTCGGTGGAAGTGCGCGAGTTCGATTGGGAATAAAGGAGGAAGGGAGCGTCTCAGCTTCCTCGGACCAAGACCATTCGACTCAGCACCCCGAAGACTACAACTGGTGAAAATTTTAGGGTATACTTCCCCTTTAACTTTTGGCTGTGGCGTTCTTAGGATTTCAGGCTGGACGTTCTTGGGCTCCATGTTCTTCAGCGCGGGACTCTACTGTACTGAAATATTATTGTTTCCATTCCAATAATATGGTTGCTATCAAGTGTATGGTTGCCAATTGAAAGATAGGGAATTCGTTCTGACCAGTGTCATTTCAATGCCCATTCCCACCACTCTTTCTCCAGAACACTTGGACAACAATAGTCACCGGTCTGCTTAGATGTATCACTTTACTGCAATGGTGCCGGGGAGTGGAGGAATAATGAAATTATTCTGAGAGCCACATTTTGCTTAAAGCACCCCCCCCCCCCCATTCCCAGGGTAAAGACACGGATCGTGTGAACTTCGGTTTCATTTTGACTTGCCTTGTATTTCTGAGGTCTTTCATTTGGCAGTACGTGGCCTCTTTGAATGTATGAAATTCATTATTATTATCATCACCAGCAATCAGCGACATCGCGCCTGACAAAAGTTTTTCAAATAAAATATTTCCACCCAAACGTCACTGCTGGTGCTGAGCAGGGAGTCGTAAAATACCGGGAGGCGACACGAGATGCACAACCGCGTCGGATGATTGCCTCAGCTCGGGCACGAGTGCTGAGACCTCACGCGCTGCATGGCGAGGGACTTCCCATGAGGTCAAAGCGGCGCAGGTCATGCAAAAGGACGCGTTCGCTGTTTGGTCCAAAAAATTTGAAAACTCAATAAAATTATCCTGCACACAACGAATCCAGTGTCAGCAGTTCGTTTTGTTTTTCTAAGTAGTAATACTTTGTGCCTTGGCCTTCGAAGTAAAGGATGATGGAGCTTGACAGAGATGACTGCCAAAGTGATGAGTCCACCGTGGAAGATGTAGATGACGCCACGTATTCACTTGGTGACCTGAGTTGTGGGGATGTTCAGCTGTGGGCTACAGGTGAGATTCTTTCGTTTGCATGTTTTTGTCTCTTCCTTGTGGACACGAATGTATAATCTGTAGCATACCTAAGTGCCCGAACTGACCCGATAAATTAGGTGGTCGACACCATCCTTTTCATCCTAGTCTGCCCACGATGCATTGTCTGTTCACTGTGACAGGATATTTATTGAAGTCCTGAAAATTTACGTGTGTACCTAGTATGTATCATCACCGTAGATGATGTAAACCTCCATCCTCAAACCATACTTTGTCTATGTGCAGATCGATGTAAGAGTGGTAGTGCCATCATGGTGTACAGGCCTATGGAAGGTGCAGTGATCCATGGAATTTGCAAACTGCTGACGATGAGACAGGCGAGTGTTACTGAGGCGACGGAGTCATTCCTGCATGTTATTATGACACTGTTACACAAGGCATCAGGTACTGCAAATCTGCTACGCCAGGAAGTGTGCCAGCTGAAGGCATGCAAGGGTGCTGATATTTCGCAAGCATGGCAACAAATGCTGTCCGTCATCGCAACAGCTATTCCCGAAGTGAAAATCAATTGTGAAGGTCAGTGCGTTTGCCGTTTTGCATGCATGTTGGAAAAAAATTGGCTTCTGACTAGGTATGCAGACTAGGTATGCAAACGCTGGCTTTTGAATACTAGTACAGTCTCTGCAACCACCAGTCCTTATATGTTGTCTTTTTCTTTTCTCTTCTTCAGATTTGGAAGTTACATCTGCAGTGCTAGCGAATCTGATAAGCTACCTGCATGCCACGGAAAGCGTCAATAGCACCATCCAAAGCTGCTGAAGCCATCCCCGAACCGGTGATTGACAATTTGTCTCACCTTGCTGAAAAGTACCATGGTGGTTGGTGCTTGGTGGCCGTGCGGCGTGCACTGGAAGGAGCAAGGTGTCGCAACGACAACTTGCTGCAGCTTATACCTTTATTTGGCAAGGATGCCGTGACAAGCCTTCAGCCTTGTTTGGAGAATTCAGGTGGCCCGGCGTGGCTCGGAAGCTCTGTATAAGACACCATACGTCACAGATAAAAACAACTGAACCAGTGATATGTGAATTTTGCGCTTGTGTGTGTGTGTGTGTGTGTGTGTGTGTGTGTGTGTGTGTGTGTGTGTGTGTGTGTGTGTGTGTGTGTGTGTGTGTGTGTGTGTGTGTGCTTCTGTGATAAGTGGTATAAGCAGTCCACAGGGTATTCACCTTGAGTGCATTCGCCGATAGTGTGACTTTCGTCGCACAGAACCTTCTTCAGTTGGTCAGGTGACTCGGCGTGGCTCGGAAGCTCTGTATAAGACAAAATACGACACAGATAAAAACAACTGAACCAGTGATATGTGAATTTTGCGCTTGTGTGTGCACGAGCATGCATGTGTGTGTGTGTGTGTGTGTGTGTGTGTGTGTGTGTGTGTGTGTGTGTGTGTGTGTGTGTGTGTGTGTGTATGTGTATGTGTGCTTGTGTGTATGCTACTGTGATAAGCGGTACAAGCAGTATACAGGATATTGACGGGTATTCACCTTGAGTGCATTCGCCGATAGTGTGACTTTCGTCGCAGAGAACTTTGCTCAGTCGGTGAGGCGACTCGGCCTTACGTTTCCTGAAGGCAATGTGTTCAGAACAGTTATGAACAGCTATGAACAGTTAAGAAATGACAAATATTGTTTGCAGTTCATGGGCCATATAGATGTGAAACACTTTGAATGCAGAAGAATGAGGATAGTGGCATCAAATACTGCATGGATTCTGTTTGATATGCTACTTTTTTTTCCCTTCCATGGAAAGGTGAGTACATCGTCGAACTTCATCTCGAAACTTCACACAAACCTAGAATGGAACTTGGACAACATGAAGGGGCCATGGGCATGGTGTGTTTAGTGGAGAACTATTCCGAAAACAGGGTGTCATTCGCATTGACTCAATTCAAATTTGAGTACATTTCGTGAATAACTTACCTTGACATTCCGTCGTCTCCAAAGCAGTGAACTTCCAAAAAAAAATTAAAAGCCACGGCTCAACCTAAGGTAATGCGTGGTACGTATCAGAAACAACCAGCTTTCGCTCTGGAGATCCAGAATAGCCTCGAAGCATATAGCAAAAACAATTGAGAAAAAGAAGATGACGACGACGTTTCAATCAGGCTTCAAATTTCGCGGGTCGAGTGCGGCAATCCTCGGATCGTGAAATGTGTGGCGTGTCGCCTCCCGGTATTTTACGACTCCCTGGTGCTGAGCTCGCGCGATCGAGTGTGAAGTTTTTTTTGTGATCTCAATGAAAAAGGATTTTTTGAACTCACGCTGTACACAACAAGCTCTCTTATCTGCATGTCTTTTTCGGTGGAGGTGATTTTTGTTGTTATTATTGTTGTGGCTGGCGACGAGAAGGCTCTCATTTACGCTAGGTATCTCATAGACAGAATGAGCCTGGTTTTTACGCCAAGCTGATGTTTTCAGCAGCAGTCCGCTGTGGAGAAAATTCAAGCAGTCTTAGGGGCCTGAAGTTTTCGCTGCTTCTTACCGGATCGACAGTGGGAAAGAAGGTACGTTTATTTTATTGTAATAAATCAGGTCGCGAGGTCGACACAATTGAGCTGTTCGTTGCACTGTGAATTTTGTTGCTTTAGGGTGGCAGCGTGCAGCACCTTGTGAAATGGAGAGACGTTATCCTCTATGAACTTGGGAGTATGAAGATATCAGATATCAGTGACGATCTATCAGGTGATTTCATTTCATTTTGGGTGAATTTATTGAATGTATTCTTGCATGAATTTGAAAATCTCCCTTTTTTTTGCTGTAGATATTTTGATGGTTCGGGGAATGTTGGGCCCTTTCTCAGATGACGAATGTTTGAGGCTGCTGATGGAGCTTGCACTGCTGTGCAGTGAAAAATAGAAGTGAAATAGTCACAAAAGGCACAATGGAGTTTTACGTGTAATAGTGCTCCACATTATTGTGTCGAGCCCTCTCCGCTGGCAGAAGGAAGTTTTCCTCCTTGAAATGAAATAGTCTATTTCTGACTTTCGAATCAGAAACTGGACAAAGGGGGTTGGGACCGAAGAATTTCCCTGTGAAGTTCTTTCCTCCAGGTTGGGATGCTTGCATGAACGTACATGGACAAGGCCCACGGGCTCACTACCTGATTACCTTCAAGCCTATGATTCGCCGTAGTCTATGTACGTTCCTGCAGCACTCCTCTGGATCTATGACAGGAGGGGATCGTGCTGCCCGGCAGTTTGTCTCTTCCACAGAAAAGGGCATTGATTAATCATGAGCTTACCGCAGAGCACAACGAAAGCATTGTAGCATGAAACTAATTTGTCTGAATACAAATCTGCACAATGGCACAGACGGCTAATGGAGGTAAAGCATAGCATCACCAGCATTGTATTCCTGGAAGCACTGCAAGTTATAGATTTAGGTATCAATATTTATCTAAGCTTTAGCGAAGTCCGGATGCAGTACATTACTAGTGTGAAAGATAGAAGAAAAAGCAATGATATCCGTATATACCCGGAAAGAGAGGTGAGAGTGGGTGGGAGTAAGTGAAAGCACTTGTACAAGCTAAACATCTGTGCAACCGGAAAGAGCAGAGAAAAGGCTAAAGCAATTACACAGGCCATGCGTACGAGGTAATTTAGCAGTGAGACCCAAACATTCTTGTAAACCAGAATGCAGCTTCAGCACACATTTTCTATTTCTTCATGTTGCGCTGCTGTTGCCGTTTCCCAACGATATGATGAGGCTCTCCGTTATGCTTCTGCTGGTTTTCCTGTGCAGGTATGTGGTGCCGTAGCTCAGAGAAATCTTTGGCCAGGGTAGCCAAGATGGCATCACCCACATCCTCCTCTCCTTCAGGTTCACTTGTAGGTTTGGCATTCATGCTTGACATCTCCTTCAGTACTGTGTAGGTCTTCTCCTATTGGTTTTTGTCTGCCCATACCATTTGCACTGCTCAGTGATGTCGGCGACAGTCGCCTCCAGCTCACCATTTTCCATTTTTTCTTTACTTTTTGGATACGCTGTGTGTCCTTGAGGTAGCATTTGAGGCTGACCAGTTCTTCTACCTTTGTTTTGCAAACATTCTTGTCTAGTGTTCAGTGATCGAACCCAGTCAACGTTGAAGCACCCTTGTTATTTCTTTCCGTTTCTTTTTATTCTTGTACACCGCTGCCTGCAACCGTGCATTTTAATAGGTTTGCGAGAAATCTCTTTTCACCTGCAGCAACCAGAGTTCGAAAGTACCGACACAAACTGGAAGCATGCCCAGTTTCCAGACAACTAGCTGCTTCAAAAATTCTTATGTCAAATGAGTGACTGGTTGTGCAGCCGACATTATGGTGACATAATGTGTCCTTGTAGTTCTGTTTATTATTACTTGTATATTTCACTGTTCGCGTCAAACTCGGTTAAAGGCCGAGTTTTCCGCATCCGTAGGAACGCCACCACCCTTCAAGGATCGTGTGTTTTAATATTATAGCAGTGTATTTTGGTATTTGCTTTGACCATCAGTCCTTGGCTGATGCTGGTCATACCTTCAACATGTTGACGCATTTTTCAAGGCATTCAATATACGTAGGCCGCAAGATTCTATCTTTTCATACCGAATACCGATGGCTAGTGCTTCCCCACTAGCTGCGCAAGTGTCACATCTGGCTGCGGCCAACTACCCTTTAATTTGTGTGTTGCCGCTATTGCTGTCTATGTCTCTGTGTGTGCCAGTATATGAGGAACGAGAATTGGCGTTATTGTTGTTGTTGTTGTTGTTGTTGTAGTCGTTGTTGTTGTTGTTCTGGTTGTCATGGGCTGTGGCTGTTGAATGTAGGCTGTTGCTTTTGTTGTTGTACTTTTAGTTGAAGCTGCATCACGAATAGGTAACCACCTTGATGATGGTGCACAATATCCGTTGAAGAAGCCGCAAAAAAACACTGTATTCTCAAACCAGTGAGCTGCAGAATGAAACCAAGTATCAAGCTGGCAAAGCTGTCAGCCACTCTAAACGAAATTTACACCAAACAAGTTGCTATTTGTCAACAGGCAGTCATAAAATTCGACTCCCTGACTCAGTCACTCTAGACTACGACTCATACGAGTCGTACAGAGTACTGACTGTAGTCACTGAGTACTGTGAGTAGTCTACGTCCTTGTGCATGACAGCATGCATCATGATTGTCATGTCAGTACATCGACATGGCATGCATCCAGCACATGGCCATGGGAAAGCCCCTACAAAATGGCCTTCAGAGAAAGCCACGCGGTTGGAGAGGTAGTTTACTCGAAAAAACTGAGAAAGAAGTGCTTTTCATCTTCTTGCTGTTCAATGTCAAGCCAGAAACAATTGAGAAGCTGCTCAGTGAAATGTGTAGAATGAGGCGATTTCCCAGATCTTTGAAGCTAGAAAGCGCACTGGACCTGCAATCTTTTGGAACTGGTCCTTCTTGAGGACAGAGATCAGACTAGCCAGGTGACAATGCTGTGGTTTGTTGGCTGACAATATTTGGAGGAAGCTTCGGAAATGACCATGAAGAAGGTCAATTCTTGCTATTTCCTCAAGATCACCAAGGTAACAGATACTTTTCAGTGGAGAAGAAAATCATGATTCTTTGGAGTTGAGATCGCATCGGTTGTTCAATGTTTTTCACTTTCGTTTTTTTCGTTGTGTAACTGTTTGTCTTGTTGGCGTGGTTCACTGGTTTGATGCCTTACATTTCGATCATGGCCATAGTTCAGAGCAATTTTCTTCCTTCCAAGATCACTCTCTGCAGTAAATGCGCAAATATTTTACGGAATTTCGGACTCTGTGGGATGTCATATAAGTATATGTTATCACATGGCACGTGATTGTTGCCCGTACTCCAGCGAATCAGCACCTTTCGCGCCGCGGGCAATAATATGCGATATTGCCCGCAAAAAAATAGTTTATTTGCCCGCAAAAAAATAGTTTATTTCAGTGATCGCGTGACTACGATCGTACGACGAGTCGACTCTGTAGACTGTACGACTCTACGACGAGTCGCAGTGTAGCATTGAGACGAAGATGGAATTCTTTTTGGAGATGGACATCCCGGCAATGGACATGGCCTCGGACGTCTGCCGTGTGGTGCTTGCAGGGATCATTCGTTCAGTCATGTTGGCAGCCTGACCGTCGGTAAGGCCCCGGTCACACCGAAACAAGCCACTTTGGGCTTGTTATCGCTGGCGCTCAGCTGGCTTGCGTGATCCCTGTGACGCGGTCACACCAGACCTTGAGTGCAAAGCTTGAATGGCTTGTTTTTCTTACCCGCCAAATTTTGAATATCTCGAAACACACCAATGTTTGCAAGAAACCGGAAAGCAGAAC